GATGCTGCAGACAGACTGAGGGACACGCTGTGAGGGAGGGACAGACTCAGGGACATGCTGTGAGGGACAGACTGAGGGACATCCTGTGAGGGACAGACTGAGGGACACCCTGTGAGGGACAGACAGTGGAAGCAGAGGGAGGATACACGAAGAACCAGGCGGTGAAGAACATCCCTATGGCCAGCAGCACCACGGTGAGGTGGGGGAACACCGCGGGGTTCACCGGGCTGGTGTATCTGCTCATAGCCTCCAGTTCCTGCAGGAAAAAACAAGCAGCTTCAGGAAACAAAGAAAAACTTTATACGAAAAAAAACAACAACTTGGATTTATTTCGATCATTATGTCAATAAAGGAAACGTCATCACTCGTTCAGAAGCGCGTGCATGGCTGCTAGCATCTAAAGCTAATAGCCTAGCAGACTAGAACGCAGCGTGTAGAGATAAACCTAGCGATATAAATGCTAGAGCAGCTTTCATAGAAATATAACAGAAATAGGAGAAATAGATGTAACTCAGACCATTTTGTAACGAAGAGATCCTCGCAGCTACCGCTCCAGATAAAAGGCCACGTACTGGTTTCTTCTTCCGGGTTTTACCCTGAACGTAACAGTGACGCGATCATATGTAGACGCCTCATTGGACGCTGGCCGATGTGCCTAGAGGTCGGCCATCTTGGGTCGGACCACAGTTCAGACAGCTGCTATCAGAATAAACAGGAGGCGCAAAGTGGATGAGATATATGCAAAGTTATATGTTTTGCAAATAAATATTATATATACACACACACAAAGAATGAGTCTATATATATTATATATCACACATGCATAAATAATTATAAAACAACAGTTTGAAAATGTTTTGGAATAAGTTTAGACAAACTTATAAGGACAAAAATCCTTTAGTTAGACACAACATACATTTACTGTTCACTATGATTTGAAAAAAGTCTTGACAATCCCTCTATAGATCATAATAATCATTATCAAAGAGCAACTCTTAGAAATATTGAATAATAATAATAACAATAAAAATATACTATATAGATATATAATATTCCTAAAAATAAATCTTATATTACATAAATATAAATGTTTGTGTTTATCATAACAATATTTGCAAAATATATAAGTGCATATATCTCATCCACTTGGAGTTCAGTTTCAGTAGTTTTTAATCTGAATAAATATGTGTAATCTAAAAAAAAAATAATTTTAGAATTAATTTTGGTCTTTAAAGTTTGTGACGTATCAGAGATTATTGTAACATAAACTCTTTCATATGATTGAAATGAGATCTAAGGCGCCTCCCGTTCATTCTGACAGCAGCTGTCTGAACTGTAGTCCGATCCAACATGGCCGCCCACTAGGCCTGTTGGCCAGCGTCTAATGAGGCGTCCAGGCATTTAATAGCTATGGACGCGATGACGTGTATTTACGTTTTGCGTCGGTTTACTCTTTGACTGAAGTTTCCCTTTAATCCGCAAAGAGACGCAACAGTTGGACCAAAATAATAGAAATCTGCTCTTTTAATGTTTTCAATAGAAATCCTGTATGATCTACTGCCATCTAGCGGACAGAGTGAGCACTGATCTATCAGGTCAAAGGAAAAGGAAACACATTGAGGCAATGCAATAATCAATTTATTTACTGCATGCAGTCATAGTATTACAGCATATATTCTGACAAAGAGCTTTAATAATCAATGCTTTATAAAGTAATGATGTTATTCTAGCCAATCAATTGTTGCTTAAACTATAGTTGTTTTCAAAAAGATCAAAAATACCAAATGTGTGCCCTTGTTTTCTCTCTCCCTCTCCACTAAGTTAATATATTATTGATATAAAACAAAACAAACAAAAAAAAGCACATCAGATAAAAAGGAGGTACAAATAAGAATAGAATAAAAGAATAGAATAAAATGCAGTTCTATTGTGTGTATCTGACACCGTACTCATGCATTGGATGAAGCGAAAGCAGTTCATTTATATACAGTGAAAAAGTGCTACAGTGGTTTCATTATGTTTACTGGTGCTTTTCAAATAGCTAAAATAGAACATTACCCATAGGAATAGACTGAGAGCATTATACAGAGTCTACGTTATAAATTCTATAATCTTTGTCTGATGGCTGTTCTTCCTGCTCATTGTTAATGTTATTTTTGAGTTACTTTTTGTTGTTTTTCTTTATAATAGGTTAATTTAAAACACATAGTGAATGGGGGATTTTCATCAACACATTAATTCATGAAATTAAGCAGAAAAATAATAATAATCTAATTAAAACAAGAGAAAATACATTTGAATTATAAGGGTTTTCACTGCATAGTCTGAGCTTGTTTTAGGCTAAAGGGGTAAACATATATTTAACAATACTCCAGAGAAATACACAGTGAAGTACAAAGTTTCCAAATGAATCAGTGCCCCAGATTTCTGATCCCAAACCCGTCTGAAGACCTTCCCTCTAACCTCTGATGCATCATTTTAAAGCAGTGATTGGAAATGCACTTGAATTGGAGGAAGAAATATCAGTTCATGCTTTACCAGCATTGTCCAGTTATCAGAGTACAATCTAAGCTACTCCAGTGTTTGTGGAAATGTTGTCAGTGAAGGACGTTTCGGCTCCAGATGCTAAACAGTGTTTGCATGACGTTTGTTTCCAGTCATTTTTCCAGTTTTATTCTACACACCAGTGATTCTGCAACAACATGCGACTCAGGCTCATATCTCATCCATCAGCAGAGCTTTGCCTCTGCAGGGACTCCTGACGAGTCACATGCATGAACATTTATCATGGTTTATACAGTGATATAACTCCAGTGTTTCGTTTGTTCCTTGGTTAAAGACGCAGTGGATTTTAATAACAGCCTCTAATGAAGCTCCACTGTGGAGACCAAGGAGATGCCAGTGTGCAGCGCTGAGGTATATTCACTACTGAAGGCTTACAGTAAATATTCAGAGTTGGAAGACATTTGGATGAAATGTAAAAATACATGTTTGAACATTGCTCGGCTGTGACAGTTCATCTCAGCCTCCATGATTATTGGCATCGCTGGTAAAAGTAAACAAAAACAGGTAAAAAGCCTCAAAATATTTCCATCTTTCTTGTAGAACCACAGGAAATGTCTAAAAACCTTTTCTCGATATAAACGATATCAAATGTTATAGTTTTATAAACTAAACCAGGAAATCAATGGAAACAGAAAGAATTCAGATATAATCAATTGAACTAAAGTATATTTGATATTTGACTATAGATTCTAATCTAATGAGAAGCTTGAACATTTAGAACAGATAACTTTGTTTCCACGGTGATAAAGATGACGTCACGCTAAGGCCAACCTTTACTCTGCCTTAGTGATGGACGATGATGATGATCACATGTCACCATGTCACCGTGTGAAGCCTCTAGATCTCTATTTATTCTCTGGATTGCTGATTAACCGCTGGTAGCATGAGGTTAAAGTGAAGCTGCCGGCCGCCATATTGGTACTCCCTAGTTAGACTGGACGCGATGTAAACAATCCATAAGCTACAGCATCGAACAAGCATAATGTTCTCATTTTAAGGGAGACTTAAGACTTTTAAAATAAAGATTAATTCATCACTTTGACACAGACTGGCTGTTTCAGAGCATCAGTAGATTAACTTTAACTTTGAATAAAAAAATAAGCCCATCACATTACATAGACTTCATAATGACTTCATAATTCATAATCACAACAAAATTAATGTGTTAATGGAGCAGAATAATACAGATGAGCCAAAAGTGATAAACTAATGATGTACATGTAATGTACATCATTAGTTTATCACTTTTGGAAATTAAATATATATATATATATATATATATATATATATATATATATATATATATATATATATATATATATACACATATGGGTCAAATGTTTCAGTTGCTTTTTTTTCAATCAAAATAACAAGCAATATATTTCAGCTAATTTTTTCAAACAAGAAATGAAACAAACTCCAAAATCGACAGCATCATCCACTTAATAAAGAATTCCTACATTGACATTTCGCAGTGAATAACTTTCTATTTCCTCTACTTTCTATTTTCTAGCATTAGACCCAATGTCAATGGCTAACTCAGTCAATGTCTTCCAGTCAGTCTGAGATAGCCAGACTAATGTTAGTCTGCAGACTAAACTATAGGATCCATCGGCTATAGATGGATTTATTGCTTAGTTCATCCACTGACTGGGAAATTACCAGTGGAACGTCTTCCTGCAGGCAGAAAACTGCTGGTTTTAGCAGCTAAATGCTGAACAGGGAGGCATTATCACTGCGCATCTCCCTGGGAGAGGGGAGTACCAAGATGGTGGACGGGGGCTTCACTTTTTCCAGGCAATCAGCAATCCAGTGAATAAATAGAGATCAGTGGTGCTTCCTGTTATGTGCGACAGAGAATCTATAATGTTTTTGCCTGCAGCTCTGGAAGCTTTTATTTTATTGCTCAGCAGAATAAACAAAGATGTTGGGATTATTGCTCTGCTGCGTTTGCATCTGTCCAAACTAAACTAAAACATATAAGATCCAGAGAAATGTTTCACTCTCCTGTCATTCTCAGTCTCCACCTATTAGAAAATATGCTGGAAGAGCTGCTGGAAAAAGATCATAGATTTTGGAGTCTAGAAACGCTATGCTTAGAGGTTCCTATCTCTGCCTTTCATGTAATAACATGAATAAATCAATTTTCAATCTGAGTCAATCCAAAGATTTTTTTTCATGTTGTGAATGATTCTATACAAATCGAAGATGGATTTATTTTTTGGCTTTTTACACGCCTGAATGAAAGGTGCCAATAATCTGGGGGGGGCTGTAATCCAGTGATCACAGGGATTTATTCCATAAATTCATTTGCTAGGGATTACAGCAGGGTCAGTGGCACAACCTGTTCTTCATGAATATCTTTAAAATCTTGAACAGTGATCAGAAAAGTTCCCCTCCTATCGTTAGAGTCTGCATCTAAAACCAGAAGCAGGAAAAAAACAACGAGGCGCATCGTCTTCATCGTCTTCATCGTCTTCCTCGTCTTCCTCGTCTTCCTCGTCTTCATCGTCTTCCTCGTCACACACAGTTACTGCGGATCAGAAAATGGTAGTCAGAGTGCAACGGCTGTTTTTCTTCTGTGGCACAGCTCACTTCTCCCTGTTTAGAGGAAAAGAAAACAGCCAGATTAGAATCATTTCACTTCTATTCAGTTTATTTCTATAGATTCACATCATGTCATCTCAGGTCACTTTATAGATCCAGATCATCCAGATCATCCAGTCAGATTGATTCAAAGTTTTCTATCTAAGGAAAACCAGCTGATTGCATCAACTCATTGACTCTTCAGCAATCCCTCACACTAAGCATGCTTGTAGCGACAGTGGAGAGGAAAAACTCCCTTTGAACAGGAAGAAACCTCCAGCAGAACCAGGCTCAGTGTGAGCGGCCATCTGCTGAGGCCCACTGGGGTTCAAGGAGACAGAAGCAGACATAGAAAAAGAAGCATAGATACTAAAGGCAACCTTTGGTGAATCCATACGTTCATATTTTGGTTCACTAAGTGACAGAAAAGCAGGTTTGATGGTTCGTATCTGAGGTCAGGTTT